GCACCATGCTGGAGATTACTTTATGATCAAGGTGCATTATTTCGTTGACATGAAATTGTCCACTTTTCAGGAGACCCAAGTTTCCTCTATAATTCATTGCTGCAAAAAACCTAAAGATCAGCCCTTAGAGCTCCTAACGTAAATCTCGATTATCTTCTTCAAAAACTCTTTATGATCAAATGAGATTCTGCTGAGGCTCTATCCGTCATCCGTACTTTCAATAAAGGAATTGAATCTACCTGCTAGTCTATATTCTCATAATCTTTTCTCATTGAGTACGAAATCAATCACATCTCGGATACGGTAATGGTGGCTGATGGCTGTCATCGATATGCAGACATGGTTTGACTTAATGGCTGCCCTCAACACCGCCACTTAACCGTTCGCAAGACAAACACGCTCTGTCACACCTCCTGACGTCCATGGACTACTATTGGATCATAAGCACATGTTATAACTAGGGACTCTAGGGGATATGATCCGTACTACTACCATCACAGCTATTGATCGAAATTTTTGGACTAAACTTGTCTTCTTCGGAGAATTCAGTTGTAGAGTTCCGGCTAAAATGTGATGGCACTAGTACGCTAAGGCAATATGTCTTAACAACTCAATGAGGGTGAATCTTCACGAGCACGACTTAATAATTAATTGGGCGGATGCTCTGGCAACAGATGGGCCGAAAGTGGCCCAGGGCAGATGTGGAGGGAGTGCTGTTAAAATGGAGACATCAGAAACATGAACGTCTTAAAATGACTAATTGTTTGAGAACTGCTGTTCAGTGAGATTTATTACTGAACCCTACCCAACTCATCTCATAATCCTGGAATCTCGAAAAAAAGTGTTTATTATTTGAAACAAAAGCTAATGCATTATACTACCTTGTAAACTCGAGTACAAACTGCAATTTCAGCTTGTCTCACTTCCTCACCGTTCATCTGTCAGTTTCCCCTGTCTACACATACTTATCCGTATTGTCCACAAACTTCTCACTATTCCGCCGTACCTACTGTATACCATTCACGAACACTGCAAGCCCTTATTGATCCAAATGAAGCTGATTTTGAAACAATCGCCCTAAAGGTCAGTTTCGTAGAGTTGGCTACATGCGAATAAATAGTTATTCTTAAAACTTTAGTCACTTGGTGGATTTCTGTTGATAATCAACGACAATGGCGAAATCTACTATGCTTCCGAGAATATCGAGCAGTTTCTCGGATTTCATCAAGTGGGTAAAATTACTTCTAGGATTAGATGTATTAC